AAGCACCTTGAGGATGCAGTTTCCACCACAGACCAGCCCAATGCTTTATTTGCATGAAAAAAACTCAAGAAATTGATGGTCTTATGAACCCGAAAGGAAAAGGTGTACTCCTTATCTCAAGAGTATGAAGGACAACCCTAGGAATAGAAGACTGAGAAAGCCAACCATCTTGAGTAAAAACACAGCCACATGGTTGGACACAGCCCACATTCTGGCTCATGTAATAGCCATGAGGATCAAGCTGCATAAACAAGAAGGGGCCTTGTTCCTTGGCTTGAAGGGAAGACACGTGAGTACTCTAGAACAACTGATAAAATCCAAAAAGAAAACCAATTCATTACTACCTAGCGAAATCCGAAATAAACGTTTGGAAAACTATGCATCATTCATATAAAAATGGACAGGTCTGCTAAATTAAAAATGTGTGCAGAGAAGGTGTTTTAAGATTTGGGTTTATTTCTCATTATCCTACTCAGATTTGATTTGTTTTGATTTGATTAAACTATTTTTCCCAAGTCAAGTCCATTTTGCTTGTGACAGTAACTGGTGAAAGATCACTCCCTGCCCTTATCTCAATCAAGTCTTTCATTGTATTTTCTCTCCCCTGTTCAGCTGAGGAGAGTGACAGAACAGTTTTGGTGGCCACCTGGCATTCAGCCAGGGTCAAGCCAGCACAGAAGGTCCAGCATTCTACCTTTCAATGTGATTTCCAGATTGCTGTAATTTGTACTCAACAGGGACTGTAAGTCTTCAGATATCATTTGGATTCCTTAAAGGAACTCCTTATCTGCAGAGAAGCATGCATCACTACTAACCTGGAAAGCACAAGTCTACTGTTCATGTGATTTGATACCTCTTGCCACTGCAGGGAGTCTCATAACTCCCTCAGTGTCATCCGTCAAGAAGTAAGCTGGGAAACAGTCGAGCAAACAACAGTTGGTACAAGTTAGTTTTGCACAGATTTCAAATAAAGTCTTGTAAAACATCCAAAACCAAATCTTCAAGCTGTCAAGCATGTACCTGCTAGCTTGCTAAAACGGGTATGGGCTGGTTGTAAATTTTTACAAGATTTGGACTAAACAGAAGTGACAAGTTCTGACGTTCCCATTAATAAAGAGAAATGGCACAGAACTACCACAGAACCCAACCACAGGTTTTGCAGACAGACTAATTAGATGAAAAAAACCCAGGGGCTTGGCAGCCCAGAAAGATCAGGTTAAAGATCCTGGGAAGCTGAGGATGATCTTGGAGATCAGAGATGAATGGAGATAAATGCTGATCACATCCTGGGCTACATCAGGAGAAGCGTGGCCAGCAGGTCGAGAGAGGTGATTCTGCCTCTTTACTCTGGTGAGACCTCACCTGGAGTACTGCATCCAGCTGTGGAGCCCTCAACGCAAGAAGGACGTGGACTCGTTGGAGTGGGTCCAGAGGAGGACCACAAAAAATGATCAAAGGGCTGGAGCACCTCTCCTAGGGGCACAGGCTCAGAGAGTTGGGGCTGTTCAGCCTGGAGAAGAGAAGGCTCTGGGGAGACCTTATAGCGGCCTGCCAGTTCCTGAAGGGGCCCTACAGGAAAGCTGAGGAGGGACTGTTCACAAGGGTGTGTAGCCACAGGATGAGGGGCAATGGTTTTGAACTAGAGCAGGGTAGATTTAGACTAGATATTAGGAAGAAGTTCTTTACTATGAGAGTGGTGAAACACTGAAACAGGTTGCCCAGAGAGGTGGTGGAGGCTCCATCCCTGAAGACATTCAAGGTCAGGCTTGATGGGGCTCTGAGCAACCTGATCTAGTTAAAGATGTCCCTGCTCACTGCAGGGGGTCAGTGGACTAGATGACCTTTAAAGGTCTCTTCCAGCTCAACACATTTTATGGCTCCCTGAATGCTGGGGAATGCTCTGGGACCACAACTCGTAATGCCCAAGACTGCTAACCGCAAGAAGCTGCAAAGCAAGTATTGACATGACTTTCTGCCCTGCCCTCCCAGAGCAGCAGCGACTCCCTTGCTGTGAAGGAAAGTTGAAACCTCAGTAAACACACCACCAGGATGGGGAGTGACTGTGTAAGACAATCAAGCAGGGATATAGAATCATAAAATGGTTTGGGTTAGAAGAGACCTCAAAGATCATCTAGTTCCAACCCTCCTGCGATGGGCAGGGACACGTCCCACTAGACCAGGCTGCTCAAAGCCCCATCCAGCCTGGCCTTGAACACTTCCAGGGAGGAGGCATCCACAACTGTTCCTCACAAAAAAGAATTTCTTCCTAGTATCTAACCTTACCCATAGTTCTAATCTCCTTGATTCTTAAAACAAAACCACAAAAAAAACCAAAACACAAAAGCAAAATAAAAACCAAAATAAAAACAGCACCTAGATCCACTACAAGCTCCTTATTTACTCTGTCACCCTGACTCATATTTTTCAATGATACACTGTCTTTCATTAAGTGGATGTGAGATTTCCACTCATTACAGACAGCTCAGAGTCCTGGAAAACTGATTTAAAACAGATGCTCTTTTTGAGTTTGTTGTTCTGTGCATGTGGCCACTTGAGTGTTCCCTCAGTCCAGAACACCACATTTATCTCTACCATAAACGAGATGGTTTTAGGTACATACATTGACCAGGTTTTGGCAACACAGAAGCGAATTTTTCACTTGTCACAATCTGCTTGTCTAGAGCATATAGAGCATGAGACGACATTGAATGAAGTCACATCTGAAGACAGCAAAAAAATTTTGGAACAAAGCAAGGAACAAGTCTTAAGAGGTGCTGAGTCCCAGGAAAGACATACCATTTATTAAAACACATAGCTGAAAGGTCAGGTTCTGAATCACTCATTAAAAAAAGGAATCTGTCAGGTTGTAAGGCAGCTCTTACTTGATCCGGAGTTGACAGGAGGTCTAACAGACTCAAAGGGTACAGTTCGAGTGAATGTCAATCTTGAGGCCCAGACACTGGAAAAATAACTACATCAGAAGCTTTGAAAGCTTGGAGAACCATCCACCCATAATAACCATTCACTGAGCTAAAAGAAAAACATTTCTGATACTCAGCAGCTGTCACCAGCAGCAGAGAAAACTAAAAAGCCAGAGCCTGGACTGAAGGATCCTGAACATTTGCATGTTGCAAACTGCAAACACTACTGGGCCACGCAAAAGTAGTAATGAGGAGTGGTAGCAGTAAGATCTGTATGAGATCTTGGAGACAAGTGCAAATCAGTCATCCTCCTCTTCTCCTACTGACTGTCTGATGTAAAAGATCAATTTCTGAAAACCCAGACACAGCCAACTGCCTTTTTATTTTATTTTTTTATTGTTATTAATTCTGGGGCAGAGGGTGTTTTGATTTGGGTTTGTTTAACACTAAGAGTGGCCACTGCAAAGCCCTGTACCCCAGCTGCATTTAAACTGACAGCGACAGGACAGCGTCTGTTTCTGGGCAAAACCAATGCTGATGGAGATGTTTTTTCTCAGTCACTTTTGAGAAGAAAATTTAAGACTCCTAGTGAATCTGTATTCTACTTTACAAGAGGGCACCCCCCCAAACACACAAAATAAACCTCAATTCATATTAAGGAGGGAACTACGGTGAGTATAAAGACAATGCCATACTGTGCAAATTCACCATACAAATAACCTCTACTAAATCCTACTCACACATAGAAAGGAGGCTAAAACAGTAAATCCTCACCAATCTTTCCAATGATTAGCAGGATAAAAATCTCAGAGTAGCATCAATTTTAGATGCATATAAAAAGGAAAAAAGTCAAAGGCAAGTACCTCTAGTGCCTGTCAGATATATAGAAGACAGTCAAAAGCTTATTTATATGAACCAGAAGAAACAAAACCAAAAGAAAAAACATGCCCAGGAACACATTCAGGGATTCAAGAATGACTATGAGTGAACAATAAAAAATTTAAAACTGTTCTATTTTAATTTGTGTATTAACTATTCCTTCCAAAGGAGAACACTTTAAGTGGAACTTTCACATTCTTTTCTATCTAGTTCAACACCGTTGATGCCTGACAAGCAATGGCCACACTCCACATGAACGGAAGACAAGAGCTTTAAGCAGGTTTTTCCTACAAAGTTAAAGGAGGTTTCAGGCACTTAATATACACGACTTTTTGCTGAACTCTCTCAGCTGAACTCTAACCCACACATCTTCCTCCAATGAAAATGATGGCACCCTTTTATAGCAGTAATCTCTTGCTAAAGCAAGCAATGGGAAACACAGTCCTTCAGAATGCATCTCTAAGTTCCTATTCCTGCACTGTCCTTGCTATCATAGAATCATAGAAGGGCCTAGGTTGGAAGGGACCTTAGAGATTCATTTAATCCAACCTCCCTATCCTGGGCAGGGATGCCTCTCAACTAGATCAGGCAACACATGGGGACCACATGGGGATCAAACCTATGGCCTTGGTGTTATCAGCACCACGCTCTGACCGACTGAGCTAACCTATGTAAGGTATGTTTTGAATTTAATGTTATCTTTTAAAGAGCTGCTAAAAATCTCTGCCTAATTTCACGAGGCATTTCATGTGCTTTTGTTTAGAGGAAGTTAGTGCAATGGATGATTAAGAATGTACGCTTTTAGAAGTTTAAAACAGAAAACAATTACTTAGTTCTACTGGCTACACAGTAAAATCTTCCACAAGTCGTTGCAAGAATAAAAATAAATTCTCTAAAATATTGTCACATTCATTTAAGCTTTTTTTTAATCACAATGCAGTAAACCAAAGCAAAACAAAACTCTACACTGTATCCACTATAGTAATAAACCAACTCAAAATATTAAACAATAAAAGGTGATGACAATAATCAACAAATCAGTGGGAGCATGGGAGTCAGAAAGCCAAGATTCTGGTTTAAACCTTTTATAAGAAGAGATACTCCACAATACCCACTGGCAAATTGCACATAGCATTCCTACAGAAAAAGTAAAACTGAAAAGCAATGCCTTATTAGTGAAAGCACCAAAATAGGCCTTACCTGAGTTATTCCACTGGGAGGGACCCTGTATGACTGCAGCTTCTGCTTCAGTAACTCGGGATCACTGTGGCGGAATGGGCACCCTGAAGTAAAAAACAAACAAGCTCACAAACAAGGCTGTTTACCCAGGACTTAGTGCAGTAAAGCACTCAAGAGACCAGCTAAGCGGTTCCTAATTGTCTAACAGCTTATTAATAAGGAAGCTAATTGCCCACGCATACAATTGCTTACTTTTTAAATTTTACTTTATTTTTAAATAATTACTCCACTGCATGGTTATCAGGGCACCACAGGCTCAAGAGTTACATAAAACACCCCAATATAAAGAGGCCACAATTCTCCTTCACTGGCAGGAAAAGCATTTTAGTTCATTCCTTGCTAACAATTATAGCGCAGGTACATTTAATAGCTGTGAAAAAGACAGGAAAAGGCAAGTAATGAGAATCAGCTGGTCTTTAAAGCATAGTTCTCTGTAAGAATATTACGTTATATACATCTTAGAGTTTCACCACCTTAAATAAGGAGAGGGGCAAGGATTTGTCCCACAATTAGTTGTGAGACACAGCTTAATGAATGACTTAGTACTAGAATAATAACAGTGAAGCCAGTGCAGGTTTTCCATGTGGAGACATGTGTAGGACATTTTAAAGCACCCTAGGACTTGTGAAGGGTGTGAAACACAAGTCCTATGAGGAGCGTCTGAAGGAACTGGGGTTGTTTCACCTGGAGAAAAGAAGGCTGAGCGGAGACCTTATCGCTCTCTACAACTGCCTGAAAGGGAGTTGGAGAGAGGAGGGGGTCAGCCTTTTCTCCCTAGTAGCAAGCAACAGAACTAGAGGAAATGGCTGCAAGTTGTGCCAGGGGAAGTTTAGGCTGGATGTCAGGAAGAAGTTCTTCACTGAAAGGGTCATCGGGCATTGGAACAGGCTGGCCAGGGCAGCAGCGGATTCATCATCCCTGGAAGTACTTCAGAAACATGCTGACCTTGTGTCGATCTTAGGGACATGGCCTAGTGGTGACCTGGCAGTGCCAGGGTAATGGTAGGACTTGATGATCTTAAAGGTCTCTTCCAAGCAGACAGATTCTGTGATATGTCAAGACACTACTAATTGGTCATTTTTTTAAGCATCTGTGCCTTTTGCAACCAGACTTGCCTATCCCACATCGGCCTTTTTAGCCATCAGCGCACTTGTAGCAAGTGTGGGTAGAGCCCTTCCCATATCTTCGTTCACGAAGCCCAGCCATGATGATGTACATTCAAAGTCTCCTTGCACATGGCACAATGTATATAAAACCAGAAGCTATTAAGTGTGATTTAAAGAGTACAGTGCAAGACCACTGTAGGCTTCAAATTAAGCAGATAATCTAAGAGACTACAGAAATGAGTAAGTTCGCCGGCCAAGGGTTTCTGCTGTTTTTAAACTTCTTTTTTTTTCTTTTAAAGCAACTCACCATGATAATCTCCCTGACTTGGTGGATTGGACATGATAATCTTCATGCAGCTGTATGGGGTATAATCAGTTCTCTTTCCTTCTTTCCCATAGTTGTGGCGAATGCTGTAAGCATATCCTTTGTCAAACTAAATAAAAACAAAAGAATAAATTCTTACAGCTTGTGCCAGCCGATTCTATTTGCTCTGCAAATAGAAATATTGGATAACAAAATAAATCTTCCAAACATATTCAAACAGAAGAATAAAACTTGAGTTGCTTGCTGGTAGCTGTGATTTTTATATTACATGGACTTGTATATGCACATAAACGTGTTTTATAGACACATCACAAGAGAAGTATGTAACTACGGATTTAAGGTCTTTTCACCTGATGTAGTTACTGCTTTAAAGACAATATGATTTAAAAAATAAAACTATGAACCCCAAGATATTAGTAAATGGAAAAAACATAATAATTTAAAATCTTTCACAAATGTCCACAAACTGATTGCTTTATCAGGACAAAAAAGAGACAAACAGATTTCTTTACTCAGGTTCACATTCTTGTTCTCTGAAAGTATAACGCTTCACCTGTATTTTATTTCAGCACTGAAGTTCAATTCATTGGATTCTAAAACGAAATGTACTTCGCTTGTACAAAAGACAAAGATTTTAGCAAATCTCCTTTGTCCACTGATAGACTACCAACACTTCCTATAAAACAAAACCTTCTGAAGTAATATAGAGGTAAACAAACATTTATCTTTGCAGCTGAATGCAGCCTTATCAATACATCATTTAGGTAAGTCCTATGACATGACACGAGTTCATATTACTTCATATATGGCAACAGTAGAATCAGATGATTCAATATATAGATTCCATTAAGTCGCACAGGCTAACATAAGACACCAAGGAATATTTGTTCAAATATTATACTTCTAATCCTAAAAAACCCCAAATAGGATGAAGTAATGAGGCATGGCATCCTTGGCCATGACAGGGAGGTTGGATTAAATGACCTCTAAGGTCCCTTCCAGCCTAGGCCATTCTGTGATCATATTTAGAATTACTCAGTCTCTCTTCTCCTCAAAAAAGCTATGACAATACATAAAAGAAGAACTGTGCATTTTTAGCATTAAACTTATGTAAAGGTCTGTGTCTGAATATAAACAACTACCATAAGAATGCATGTTTTCTTCTCAAAAACCACTTTTAAATCATTTTTTACTTTGGTATTTTACTAATTTAAGACAATACAATATACTGAGAAAAAAAGTCATTCAAGCATAGCACAGGTAACACTACTACTTCAATGATACTCTCATTTCTACAAATAAAAGTAGTTTCTTGTTTGACCTGTGGACTTCCACATAGTAATTCAGAATATTCATACACCTGTGAAATACCTTGACCTGCTAAAACATTCTAAAATAAAATAGAAAATTAAGTATATTTTTCTTTGTATAAAATCGTTATTGAAAAATACAAAAAATTGAAAATCTGTAAAGTAACATACAAATACATTAAAAAATGTGCATAAAAACATACACAACCTCTGTGAATAAAATCCTAAATTGTATTAATTCAAAGGGTAAAAAAGAAACTTCCCTATCAAAATGCTGGCCATAATCAAGTCAATGTATCAAGAAGACTAATATTCAGCACTCATTCCAATTAAGGCTTAAGAGATCCAAAGCTCTAAACAAACATTGACTAATTAATCCTTACTGTGCATTTGACAAAGTGACTTTACTTAAAAAGATAATTTTTTTTTATTAAAAAACGGGGTGGAGGGAGGAGAGAGATTTAGAAATGAACATTGTGTTTTCCAGCACAGCCACAGGCAAGATCTAGCACATATGAATGTTCTTATCTAGTCAACCCATTTGCTCAGGAGAGAAAACAACTGAGTGGTTGAATAGTAAATGACCACTATTTCCGCCAGCAACAGAGTTGGGTTTACCAACTCTTCTTGAGAAAGAAGAGCAAGCGTGGTACGAGGATCTGCCATATGTATGCGCCAGAAGGGCCAGGGAAGCAGGTACCTTTAAGTTCTTTACTATGATGGTGGTGAAACACCTGAGGAGGTTGCCCAGTGAACTGGTGGAGGCTCCATCCCTGGAGACATTCAAGGTCAGGCTTGACGGAGCTTTGAGTGACCTGATCTAGTTGAAGATGTCCCTGCTCAGCGCAGGGGGCTTGGACTAGATGGCCTTTAAAGGTCCCTTCCAGCCCAACACATTCCATGATTCTACCTCCCTTGAGCAGGGCAAGCAGCAGCAGCGCTTGCTAAGTCTTGCTGCTGCTCCCGCAGGAGCTTCAGATGGTGTATTTACACCTGAAAAATAGCAAAATGCAAACACAAAGATACATGTATCTAAATGCCCAACCTCTGAGTGCACCTGTTAAACTGAAGACGGAGCCTGCAATCCTATAGCCACCTACTCTCCCACCCAGAAGCCCTGGAAATTTTTCTCCTTCTTTGCAGAAGATGAATGAAAGCATATTTCATTTGCTTAACAAAAGATATCTGAGCAAGGAGTTAAATTAGAATAAATTAGGGTTTTGTAAGGGAAAAGCAAATCTTGAATGCTTCAGGATGTGTTGCTTAGTTTGCCAGAAAATTAACGCCCGTCTAACAGTTCTGTGTATTAGAATCTTGAGCTGTACTTCTCACATCACTTGCCTTAATGTCCACAGAAATTACTTTTACTACCTAACTCATTATTTTATGCTGAGAAGTAGCTCTTGCAGCAAATAGAAACAACATCTACATAATAACGCAACATGGCCTTGCGACAGGTTGGATATTTTCTCATCGCTTTCCTGTAATGCTGTCTGGACCTCAAGAGCTTTTGCAGCGGCAGATGGCAGAGAACAACACAACTATACATGGTGCAAGTTAGCACACGCACAGTTACACCCTTCACTAAGAGCTCTCTCATCCTTGTGATTCAGCGTTTCTTATCATTGATCAAGGAAAGAAGATTTTAGCAGGGCCAATATCCGACAGGCTGTGTGGGCTTCCTCAGTGGAAAGAAACCATGAACTGCAGCATTTTGTTGCAGAAAATACGTCCTTTGGAATAGCCCTTTCTGTACGTTGGGGGATGGACTCTATGATCAGTCTCCCTCTTTCCTAGTACCGTTACTCTAGAATGTGTACAAAGAAAAGTCCTCCTCAGGAGCAACTCCTTTTGCCAGCAAAAGCATTAAGGTATAATTAAACATGTTTGAAACACACAGAACTGAAAAGGCAGAGGGAAGGAACTGTCCCTTCCTGTTTATTCTAATGCCCAAAACCGAAGGGGCAGCATTTTGACAGTTTCTTGAACAAAAAAAAAAACCAAAACAAATTGTGTGCAGAATGTATCAATCATGTAGGTGTTTACAGGGACATTCTAACTGCTTCTAAATTGCTTGGCTTAAAATTATTTCAGAAAAACAGTTTAAAAACCTGTAAAACTACTATTATATTATTCTGCCTGCAATCTCCTATAAGGTTATTATGGCAAAAGAAAACCTCTAAAAGATCAAAACTTGATTAAGTGGTTTGAAAAATCACTTTTTCAGTGATGGCCCTATAAGAACTTTTGAGGGTTTTATTGAAACCTGCTATGAACCAGCTCAAGAACAAAGATGCTGCAGGAGTGTGTGCAGCTCCCAACAGGGGTTGGACTGGATGACCTTTAAAGGTCCCTTCCATCCCAAGGCATTCTACGATTCTATGATTTCCCCTGCATTCTGTGTGACAGTTTCCATCAAGAAAAAAGAAAAGAAGGGCAAAAAAAGATTCTATTATCACAGAAAAACTAGGTATGCATATACATCCCACCATAGTCCATGCTAAATATCAGCAGAAACTTCCTGCCAGTTACAATAAAACAGCAACGTTAAAGCAACATCATTATACTATTGAGCATCTACACGCACCAGATCACCTACTGCAAGGATTCTCTGCAACTTTTTAACTGTACAGCCCACATCTCAACTACCTTCAGTTATCTCACCTCTGTTTGGATCTCCCAGCTTTGCAAAACCTGCCAGGTATCTCTAAATTACGTGCTGGGTGAATGGGCCATGGTTTTGATAAAGGAAAAAGGGAGAATGAAAAATGTCTTGTTTAAGCAATGAACTGGTTTGCACTGAAGCCAAGAAGCTGAGGTAGAAATGAACCTTCAACAACATCTCTGTCAAAATTTGTCACTTTGCTGTTGGAACATGCAAATCTTGGGATTAGCAGCAGGGTGAATTTTATTTTAAAAGTCCGCAAGTCAACCATCTGAACTTTAACTTGATCCCTGAAGTTATAAAGATTTTTTAAGGACTTCTCCTTCCTCTATGTATGGCTGTAGGATGCACACGATGCCTGGTCTGAAGCACACTGCTGATGGCAAGTAGGTGGCTTTGAGGTTTTATGAATAACCGTTGTAATGAACTGAGGTGTCCAGAATATGGTACTGAATGCACTAATGATGGTCCTGGGTATCCCAGAACAGGTGACACCAAGTCCTTCTTAGACTTCTTCTCCCTGTAAGAAACAAACCTCTTAGCACTGGCCAGTGGGACTCAATCAGTAGTACAAAGCCAGAATCACAGAGCTTTGGGGACAGTTCCCTGGGGACCATGTACTGTACTGTATCAAGGGAGTTACACTTTGCTTTTATGTGGTATATTCACACAAGTATCAGGATAATGTCTTATAACTGCTAGTTAAGACACACATACTTGTTAGATAGCCTTCACTAGAAGACATGCAAGCTATAAATTAAGGTGTAAATAAACAGGTTTAGAAAAAAAAGTAAGCATAAATTTTCAACTGCTATAGCCTAATAGCAGATTACTTGTTTCAAATAGCAATTTAAGGGTATGTTATTTTCAACAAATTCTGATCACATAAATGCACACAAGATCTTCAGATATGGAATAAGGATGTGCATTAAATGGACCATTTGACAGGTACAAGTGCTCCTTTGAAGAAAAGCTTTCATCGAACCAAGCAGGGAAGGATGAGTCATATGTGTGCCTCATGATTATAAATCTCATAGAACCACAGAATTATAGAATGGTTTGGGATGGAAAAGACCTCAAAGATTACCTAGTTCCAAATGCCCCATCATGGGCTGCGACACCTTCCACTAGACC